AAACCAGGGTAGTTCACTGACCCAACAGGGACTGCTGCACCAGGGTAGATCACAGAACTGATAAGGTTCTCCACACCTAAATGTTGAATTGGAAGAATCAACAGAGGCGCTGAATTGGTCGCATTCTTCGGACGAAGGTCTGTGAACAGAGGTCGCCGACGAATGATCCAAATCTCTTGAAACAGACGGGGAAGAAAGTGTGGCTGTAACCGACAGAGAGGGCTGGTCTGGAGCGTTCGTTGAAGAAGGGATTGTCGCATCAGATCGGTTCATCAAGGAATTTCGTTGATTGGCGAATGCTGAACAACCACAATTCTCGAGGGACCCGTGGAACTGTGGGAAAATGTCTTTCTACACTGTTGACAAAATTTCATTTTCTTTGATGAAGAATCTTCTTTTCCCATGTTGAAATTGGGGATTCAAAGTGAATAACTTCTATTACAGCATGTCTGCTCAGCAGTGCGACAAGAAAGAGTGAGTGAGTGAGTGAGTGAGTTGGGTTTTACACTGCTTTTAGCAATATTCCAGCAATATCACGTCGGGGAACACCAGGAATGGGCTTCACACATTGTACCCATGTGGGGAATCGAACCCAGGTCTTCGGCGTGACAAGCGAACGCTTTAACCACTAGGTTACCCCATCGCCCCGCGACAAGAAAGAGAATGACTAGATCAAGGACTCAGATAATCAACCAGAGGGCATGCTGCATGCTTCTCAGGAGACTACCAAGCTGTCCAATAAGAGGAGTAGTAGGTGTGTGTTCGGGCGAATGGTACCAGAGAGGTTAGGCACTTCGTTTGCAGTTTGTTTCCACTCAGCTGTCGATCATGAGAGAGAGAGTACAATACGTGAGATAGGATAAGTTTTAAAAATCTAAAACAATATAATACTCTAAGCAAAAAAAGAAACTTTATATGAGTTACTTTATATCCCAAACGAACCCATATAGAATAAAACGTGTTACTATTGAATAAATCTGGCTTATGGACATAGTCAGTGGACACTAAAAAGGAGAAGGATCAGTAAATGATGAAATTATATTGAAACTTCACAACAATATATACTCAGCAGCAAAAAACAGTCGGTACGAATTCAAAATTAGATAGGCACTGTAATCAAATCATTGCAGAAATTGACATAATAAACGGATCAAAAAATGTTTTTGTGTATAATATCTTGACACATCAATGAATAACTCAGCACAATTTCAAGACATTACGTGAACGTTTGCAGTCCATTCAGACTCTTGACTTCAGAATCTTGTGTGACCACCACGAGCGGCAATAACTGCAGCACAGCGTCTATGCATGGAGTGCACCAATAGATTGATGAAGGCCAGTGGCACTTGGAACCACACTCTGAGAAAAGCCTGGCGCAATAAATCGGCTGTGTTCGGCCTTGGTATGACATTATTCAGTCTCATCTGAATTTCATCCCAAAGACGTTCAATTGGGTTTAAATCAGGACTAAGGGCTGGCCACTGCATAATGTTGACACTGTTCTGCTGTAGGAAGTCCCGGGTAGCTCTGGCAGCATGGGCGCGGGCGTTATCATGCTGGAAAATGTTGTTCTGGTGGCGTCACGAAATGTGGTGCAGACATGGGGTCTGAGAACTTGGTCGATGAAGCGCACCGCTGTGATGCCGCCTCCTCTCACTGGACCAAGGTTCTGGAATACCACAGGACCCACTCTCTGGTTCAGGCCTATTCCACCCCATACCATGATGCTTACACCTCCCTAAGAGTCTCTTTCCATAACACATTGGTCTGAGTAACGCTGGCCACGTCGTCGTCATAATCTTGTTCTGCCATCTGCAGTTGATACGCAGTATCGACTCTCATCTGTGAACAGAACAGTTCAACATTGCCTGTATCGCCAGTTTTGGTGTTGTAAAGGCAAAACCCGTAAAGCTCACCATTTCACGAGGGGCGCAGGATAGGTCCACGGTAATGTCTACGGCAATGGTTCCCGCTGTTAAGACATCGGCGTACTGTATCAGTACTGATTGGTCTTCCGCGTGTTCCCACTGTCTGGCATGCTGTTTTGGATGCCTGCATGAAGGAATTCTGTACATACTGTCGGACAACATGGCGGTCTTGTCGTTGTCGCAGCATCCTGCTGACGTGATGTGAATGTTTCAACCAGGTTTGGCGGTGCATTTTATAGGGCAGGTCCTTGTGAACAGCACATGCAGCATGAGTTCTCCAAGGTCAGGTTGTGTTTTTGAGACCATTTCCTGGATTCAATTCTGAGTTTGGGAAGGAATGTCTTTGCTCAGATAAAGTTGGAGATGTTGTCAAAAATATACAATCAAAACATTAAATGAGTTTACAGTTATACGTTTATGCGAAGGAAAATTCTAAACAGTTTCTTTTGCTGCTTAGTTTACATGGGCAAACGACAATATCACCGTACATCAAAAACCTATTATTTATAAACATTACTTGAAGGGAAATGTTAAATTCATCAATGATCTCTTGAAACAAGATAGTCCCGACCTATGAGGAATTATTTGGTTATGGTTAAATAATTGCGGTGACAAAAGGTTTAAGAATCCCCTTTGAACCAGCAAATAACACAGACAAGTCTAAAAAATTCAATAATATATTGAACAAACAATGAGCAAGCTACAATGAATCACCATACAGATTTCTAGTACAATGCAGTTGAGTCACATATCTAAAGTAATGGGTCACAAATATTAACTCACCAGAGTCTTGGTATTTACACTGAGAGCAGATATTCTAATTGAATGTAGTTTACAAAGAGAGCGGTCAGGCACGCATGGTCAGACTTGCAATGTGGACGATGGCAGACAGAGAAGCACACAACTCCAGTGATATAAGTCCATGTGTTACTCTGTGTGTGTGTGTACAATAACCAGCCTTTATATATACTGTATCATTATTCTCTCAGAACTTCCGTGATATCGCTGGGAGACTCCGATAGCCGGAAGTCAACAAGATAAACAAACCAGTCAAGGGAGGCAACTCTGAATCGCTATCAAAAGGGCGTACCGCTAAAAATATTATTGCCACTGAACATACATGATGCGAAATGTGACCCATAATAACTATCACCTAATGAATGATTTTACTAATTACAAAACACACTCTCGTAACAATTTCTTTGTACAATATTAAGACAATTTTTTTAGAAAATAGGGGTATCATCAACTCCATCAAATCATGTCTACTTTCAAAAAAACTGTGTAAAGCAGAGGAGCCATTTATTCCTTATAATATACATATTCTTTACAAAGAACGTTAAATTGCCAGATTTTCTACTCTGTCTTGCAAAGGAAACATACATTATAAGAAAAGCTAAACAGCCAACTTAAATGGGAAAGGGATATCAAAGTAGATGTATCAGAACAACTCTGGAAAGTTTTTAACTTTGTACCTTTTAGAATAACTTGTAATACACAAATCAGATTGCTACAATATAAAATTGTCCATAGAATCATTACAACCAACAAGGATTTATTTAACTATAAACTGACACAATCCGCTTCTTGTACATTCTGTAATGTTACAATCGAATCAAATATTCACATGTTTTGTGAGTGTGTACATGTGAAAATGTTGTGACAACAACTAAAAGCCTGGATTGAACAAGATACACCCAACAAGATTCATTCTGGATGCAAACATATGATCTTTGGATATAAAGAAAAACAAAATGACGTATTAAACCTTATTATCATTGCAACAAAATACTATATATGCAAAGAGATGTTCTAATTCACACCTGCAGTTTGTTGGATTAAAAAATTACCAACATACCCTGTATGAAATTGACAAATTTACTGCCTTTTTACACTGTAACTACTGTAAATTCTTCATCTTTTGGTCATCTTGCTAAAACCTCTTCACTAAAATTACAATAATGTGTTCTTCTGGCCTTGTATCACCCTATGGATTATCTACCACCCGTGTCTATATTTTGTGTATTTACATGTACCACAAATGCAACAATTATATAACATTTATGCACCCATCATAAAGAAATAAAGTGACTAAAAAATATACATATAAAAAATAGGATACACTTTCCTTCACAGTCAAAAGTAGCATATGGACCCCTCTTGCATTCACAACAACAAGGCAACATTGTCTCATTTAAAAAACAAAACATTGTTATCCTAGTCATTGTTTCATATGCTATGACTATTTTTACTTGTAAATTGTAAATCATCTCCACACACATTACCTCCCAATTTTAAAAACTGTGACTTAGTTTAAAAAATACCAATTACATAGAACATGAAATTTTACTGCAATCATCTGAAGAAGAAAAAAGTAAATGAAACATACAACTTTATGGATGGCAACTTCTGGTTTATTGCGTTAAGCGACGTTTTGATGTAGATCCTTACATCGTTATCAAGCTATTACTTTTAGCTTGATAACAATGTATCCCGGGCTGTTAAAGAGGGGATAACTGTGTCTTCAAATACAGAAGTCCATCAGTGGGTCCACAACACTTTTATTCGTGATTCAATTTGTATAACTACATGATGTTACAACAATGACTAGGCGGCATGTCGGAGGAGATGGTTAGCCAACCTGCCTAGTCGCTGTCTCAGGGTCAAGTCCCGACCAACACAAAGCATTCTCAATTTATCCCTAAGGGTCTGATCAGACTGTCACGTGTCACATTTGTGACAGATGTCCAGTCAGCCTGCAGTATCCCGCACCTCATGCACAATGCCATGCTTCAGTGGCCAACCAGCCTTTGTCTAACTTTGATTATAGGCAGCTAAGGACTCTATGGTGGTGGCCATGATGACAATGGTCAAGCTGTGTTGATTTCATTTCCATTGACAGCATGGCCATTACTTAGAGAGATATTCAATTTGCATAACTCAAGGAATATCATAAATATCCCAGATAAACACTGTTCAAACGTGCTCTACCGATCACAAACCAATTGTTACAACACATAATTTTCTATTGATATTTCTTCTTAAAATAGCTACTGGTTAACTAATACTTACTTTGAATAGTTTCTGCTTTGTGAATATCCAATCCAGGATGAAGTTCCAGCTTTAGATAGAATTATACCTATCATATCTGCCTGTTTTCCTTCTAACAGATAAGTCTGTAAATGTTCAGCAAAACTTCCTGACAGTGTGAATCTTCTACAAAATCAGTTTCAAGTAACTTGTCAACTAAGCTTTGCACATTTATTGTCTTCAAGAACATAAATGCTCTCTCTTCAAACGCTGGACAAGCATACAATTGCATGAAACACAATCTGCGCGAGACAAAGCCCAGCCCAGATATTCATAGACATGTGGTAAATCATCAATTGGTCTGACATATTCTCCTTCTACGCTACAGTGTAACAGAATAGCTTTTTCAAACCATTTCTGGGTCAGTTCAGAAAGGAAATCTTCCGCCACAACCATCCAAAAGTCATGTTTCAACATCTCTTTGAACAAGGAGTGCAACATTTTGTTGTCTGACAGTGCCAGTAATTTCATCACTTCAACACGAGAGGAAGGTTCAACAAAGAGATTGTCAGCAAGCAAAAGTGTCTGTACTTTGTGGCAGTCAAAATCATGAATCTTGTGGGTGTTTTCACACATACCAAATCACTTTCTGTTCCATACATCTGGCAATATCTCCTTTAACTTTTTCCCATTTGGAAAGCACTTCATGGAGCTTAACCATCTGCACAATGTTCCTTGTCTTCATTAGAGAAGAGCATTCATTCTCCACTTTCATATGAATGATAGTCTGGGTATCTGTTTTCAAAAAGCTTACATTTTCTTCTTCTGCCAGGGCAAATTCCAACGGGAAGTGCTGTAGCAATCTCTCAAGGAACTGGCAATATGAGGGTTCATCATCTGTGCTCACAAGACTGTATGTTCCTCTGAGAACCGATCTCACGTGTTCAATGTCATGTACCTTGAACGTATTTGTTGAAATAGATTTCTGCAACAGCTTGGAGAAATATTCAGATGAAAACAGATGAAAGCAGTATTCCAGTACAGTGAAGAAGTGGCATGGACTTTTAGGGAATGCAACTTGACACAAACTTTCTGCAATCCTCCTGAAAGCTGACATCATTGTGCTTGGTATGTCCTTCACAGATATTGCCTTGAAACCTTTCAAAATTGACTGACAGATGGTTGGTGTAGCCCATTGTGAATGCTTGATGTAATCTTGATTCATAGAGAGTTTACTATAAACATACCCGAGGGCACTCAAGCTATCCGGTGACATGCTGTGTATTCCATGTTCAAAACATTTTTTCATCAACCTGAAGATTGATTCAATATCTCTGTGGTCCTTAAATATATTCCTTGTAAGGTCTTCAATTTGCATGAGAGCATCTTTATATCCATATGCTGAGATATTCATTAAAATGTGACTAACATGACCACAGAAACCTTCTTCATAGTCACATAGGCCTTCAATGCAACGGAATATGCTATTTGTTCCCATTGCACGCCATTTATACATATTCTTCTTAGTTACTGATAGCCATGTATTGCAATGATGTATTGTGATTCCACACAAATATTCATCAACATTTGGATGAAAGTCTACCTTCCCACTGGTCCACATATTTTCATCCAAAGATCTCATTTTTACCCAACCATAATCACCCCCAACTTTTGATGTAAACTCAGCAAACACATTTTTCATATGTTTCTTTTTCATTTCACTGGCAGGAATGTAGAGAAGTACTTCTTTCTTGAGAAGCTGAAATAATCACACAAAACAAAAGACTTATTAAAAGAGGTATTTCAAATATAATTGCATAAGTCTAATTTGGTTCACTTTTCATGATGTACCTGTGATGATACCTGCAGAGTGTCAACCACTTTGAGCCCTCCAAATTATTGGAATATTGGACTCCTAAAGATGAAAATATAGGACTAAAACTAAATAATATAGGATCCTTAGAAACGTTAAAAAGTCCTCCTCCCCTTACAGCCAACCTTCTCCATCACTTTAACAAGAAATAAATCAAAGCACCATGAAAATAACCATAATGAATAATTTGAACATCATAAACTAAACACAAAAACCTTAACTGTAACACAATACACTCTCTCTGGGTCTATAAAGACATTGACATCAGAGTACACAGTCATTTCGTATGTCCAGATTTAACTTTATTCTATCACTGATAAAAAATCTAGCTGTTAGGGACTATTTAGCTGTATCCAATCAGCTAAATGCAGGGTCAACATGCAGCAGAAAATAGGAATTTATATGATAACATACCAACATATAGGATATAATTTGATAGTGTCCAAATTATAGGATTTAATAGGAATATAGGACTCGCTTGACACCTTGTACCAGTTATTTGTTATTGCAAATTACAAATGTTTTAGATTATACCAAAACTCAAAAGTCAGTTTCAGAAGTCATCTGTTTTAAAGTGTACATGACTATCAGAGTCTTCACATTCTTTCATGGTGTTTGTTTTAAATGTTTAAGACGATTCATGGTCCTTTCAATAACAATAACACTTCTGCACCTGCGCATCCAAGGATCAACTGAGCATTTGTTTCAAATCAACATTAGGCATTCAGCTTGAATAGCGATTGAGTGATTAGAAAGCAGAACTACTTCAGCTGATATATATTCCAGATTTGTAGGCCATTGGCAGTTAGTATGTTTGGTGAGAATAGTGTCTAATAAAGATTTTACCGACCCATAATATGGGGTAACGTGTGTTTGTTTTATGGTTGTTTTGTTGTTGTATCAATCAATGAGACAGTAATTTACTCATAATGTTTAAATAATGTTTATATTAACTGCAGTGAAATCGTGTATCCCTCCGACCTGCATTACTCACAGCAATCACTAACATATTGCCGATTATTACGTCTACTCACGTCTCAAAGTGTAGTTGACAGAAAATGGATACGCATACATATTTCGTTTGCCAAAAGTCGTATTTAGTGTAGCTGGACATGTCAACAAACTGCTTTCGAAGTGGAAATAGCGAGATCGCGCGAAAACTCATCAGTGACAGGTCAAATTATTCCATGCATAAAAACTATCCAGCATAACACCAAAAAGCTATCACATAACCTTAGTTTTGATTGTAAATATTTTACATTTATAAAGCAAAACCTGCAATGAAACAATACTAGAATATATTTCTGTTTATAAAATAATAGTTTCAGATACTATATTTTTAAGATCATTGCATCAGAATTTATCTCGTTATATTATCAGGTATGTTTTAAACAAATCACCGGTAGGGGAACGATTGCTATTTCCGGCACTGTATACGAGACAAATACATATGGTAATCTTAATCCTTGCACATAAGACAATGCCTAGCAAAAACAAATTAGAACCTGAATAGGTAAATAATCCTGTCTAGTGATGTTTCATTGCAAATTTGACGTCTTTACTGACAAAGTCATTTTTTCTTATTTGTTTGTTCACGTGAAGTGATACAATGAAGTTTTCTCACCCCTTGAAAAAAAGTTTGACAAAACTGTTACCCATAGATAAGCCGTCCTCCTTCCAGAGACTGCTAGTTTTGGTCCTCAAAATTCGGCTATTTAAAACGGAGACTTTGAGTTCCGGGATTAACAGCGTTACCTTTTTGTGCTGTAAGAACGGGAACGATTCGGTCTATCGTTGTTGAACATGTTGTGCTTTACTGCCATAGCTCTTAACAGAGTGGAAGGGTGTTTGCCTTGAACATTATCATTTCGAGCCCCTTACTGTGGTTTGGGGTCGTATTTCGTTCGACGTAAACCCAAGTGTTCTTGCCAAGGACCTACCGAGTCTAATGGGATCTTCCCCACTGGTTAAGATAAGCTTTAAATTCGATTTGTTTAGTTTTAGACTGGATCCTATAGGATAAATTTCGTCGTTCAGCATACAAACGCTATAATAACTGTCGGACAAAATGTGGCAGTTTCCACTGATGAATAGCTTCTTGCTGTTTCTAAAGCTACTGATATTATTCCATCGCGGGTAATACGCGAGATCGCAGAGAATGGCTTCAAGTTCCCCTGATGTGTTATCGATAGCCCGAAGTAGTTGAATGGGCTCACCATTCGAGATGCGTGATGCGTGATGAACATGTTAAATATACAAAGGTTCTACATTATACTTTCAACATGTCTACACAAAAATACACGTCGGGATTGCTTTTTCGTTAAGTGATCGTGTAAGTGCTACCAATTTCACGCACATGAAAATTGTGGTGGATACGGATGGCTCTCATTATCGAGCTCGGTTTATTGATGTATTTAAACATTATAGGTTTTCTCTCAAGAGCGTGAAAACGGTATACACATGGTTTCCAAACCCGATGCAATTCTGGCAAAATCAAATCAATTTAATTCAATCCTGTCTAATATTCATCTAATTTCCAAACACAGTAAATTTATCTCCTAAATATTGTTTTTCATTATTTAGAGAAAAAAAAAATTAATTTGTCATTGTGCTTATATTTGATGATAAAAATATATGAATTTACACTCTGTTAAATATGAGACATCAGAGATATGAATATTTAAATCGATTGCACAAATTTAATGATTTATACAGGTTCTTAATATGGAAAGCATTCCACTGTCAATCAAGTAATTCGGGTATATTCAAGAATAGTTATAATATTTATGTTTGCTTTGACCTTAACCTCTGCATGTTTGAAAATATCAGGATATTTTTGAATAATAATGTTCATTTTTCTATCTAGTATTAATGTGCAAAATATTGGTTGAATTGTTCCTTATTTAATGATGGCCTAACTGTATACAATCACTGACCCTGTTTACAGCGCCACATGCTGAAATGAATTCAGGACGCTAAAGGTTGACAAAAAAGTAATATGCATCTGGTTTCTGATTCTAATTTAGTCATATATTTGTTCCAGTTATCATAAAAGAGAAAATAATAATAATAATAATAATATTATCTACTTCTATAGCGTCGAGTTCCAGCTAGACTGCTCACAGGCGCTTGTGCAGTTCAGTCTATTTCATTTCAAATAGATGTGTCTTTGGATGTTTTCAAAAAGTTTGTAGACTTTGAGCGGATTTTAGCGACATAGGGAGGATGTTCCATAGCATGGGAGCTATACATTCAAAGCAGCATTCCCCGTATTTGGTCCTGGATGGTCTGGTGATAAGCAGATCTCTATCTTGTGATCTAAGGGTTCTTGTTGGTCTATGGTTGTTAAGAAGAGATGACAAGTAAGATGGAGCAGTGTTGGTCTTCAGGCACTTGTAGATAATGGTGAGCACCTTGAATTTTATGCATCTAGCAACAGGTAGCCAATGCAGTTCTCTTAACTCTTCGAGGACAACGAGTTATTATCCTGCAGGCCGTGTTTTGTATAAACTGGAGTCGATGAACCAGGGAAGCTGTTATCCCATACGAAAGTGAATTGGCATAGTCAAGGCGAGATATGACTGTTGCTTGAGTGAGAGTTTTGGCGGTTTCATCTGAAAGATATCGTCTTAGTTTACTAATCTGATGCAGATGGTAATGAGAACACTGGCACATTTGGGTGACCTGCTTGTTCATGGTCATGTGGGAGTCGAAAACAACTCCTAGATTCTTCACTTGGGAAGAGGCAGGCACTTTCACAGGTCCAATATTGACTGAGAATTCTGTCATATGTTCCTGTAAGTGCTTTGGCCCAGCAATGAATACTTCCGTTTTGTTGTCATTTAGTTTGAGAAAGTTAATTCTCATCCAAGTTCTGGTGTCACTGGTGGAGCTTTCCAGCTTCGTTATCTTGTCCTGAAGTGATGCAATCCTGGAGGCGATACAGCTCTGGGTGTCATTTGCAAAGCACTGGAAGTCAATGCAGTGGATCCGGAAAACATCACATAGTGGCAACATATAGATGGTAAACAAGAGTGGTCCAAGGACTGAACCCTTTGGAACGCCATATGATAACCACCTTTCTTCTGACACGGCCTCACCAACTTTCAGTGACAGTTCTGTTTTTTAGATATGACTCAAGCCACATCAATGCTGGTCCAGTGATCCCAACAGTCTTCTCAAGTCAAGACGGAAAGATACTGTGGTCTATTGCATCGAAGGCTGCTGACAGGTCTAGAAGAACAAGGAGTACTACTCTCTGATTGTCGAGATGAGAAAGAATGTCATTTGCACACGGAGTGCTGTTTCTGTACTGTGGTGTTCTCTATAGGCAGACTGGAACTCTTCCTGGGGGTTGTTTTTTCCAGATGTTCTTTGATTTGGATTGCTACAATCTTTTCAAGTACCTTTGATAGAAATGGTAGGTTGGACACCTATAATTTCTAATGTCATTTGGATCAAGTGAAGTTTTCTTGATAAGTGGAGCCATTTTGAATGTGATTGGTACTTCAGATGCAGCCAGCGATGTATTGAACATGCCCACTAACGTAGGTGAGAGTCCAATGCAGATTGAAAGATCCATGTTGGAATCGGATCTAATTCACATGACTTTGATGGACTCTTCTTTATTATGTGTGCTATCTCACTTTCTGATGTTGGTCTGATGTTACTAAAGCGCTGTCCATTGAACGTTTTATCTGGAGTTATTATGTTTGGTTGGTTCTGTTGTAGGTCGACACAGATGTTCTCAATCTTGGTAGAGTGAAGAAATCAGCACAGATGTTCTCAATCTTGGTAGAGTGAAGAAATCAGCAAAAACGATTAAGCAAAATCCAGTTCACTGTTATGATTAGGCAGAATGTCTGTCTTTTATGTAACAGATTATTCAACACTTTGAACAGAGCCTTCGAGGGATGGAAGAAGATTGAGCTTGATTTGATTTAGTAATACATCGCGGAGTTAATATGTTGTGCGCGATTTTGAACCTAAGAGTGGCATTGTGTTTATCTCTGGAGTGGCGTGCAGGTGGTAGCAGTTTTCTCATGGCGAGAATACATACAGTCATCAACAGAAAGCACCTCTTATTCATGAGGGCAGCACATGTGTGTTGTACTTTTAAAATGCACTGTACTTATTATTTCCAACCAATTTTAGCGGTACTGAGCAAATGATGGCTTTTCTTTGAGAGATCCCAGGTATCAATCAGAAGATTATTTAAAGTGTTTTGATAACAATTTAGCACAATCATTATCATCATAGGCTTGTACAGCGTTTAGCAAATGTGATAAGTCAGAGGTAGGGTGCCTGCCTTTGCATGAATACATATATACATGTCAGTGTTATTACAACAATGAAATGTTTTGCCTACGTTTGCTACAAAAATAGACAGTAAAGTTGGTAATTCAAAACATTGTCACACACATGGACAGAAGTAATATCATAAGTTATTACATGTAAGCCATACAAAGGTATTTCAAGCATTTTTGTTCAAGCCGTTGAAAGTTTCATGTTGATTTAATTGTCAGTTTTCTATGCAATTTACATGAGCATTCTGTAAAAGCGTTTGTATTTGATCTGTGTAATTATCAAATCCGCAATTATCATTTGTATCAATCAACTCAGTCTCTATTGATCCATCGTCAATAAAAAGCTGGATAGTATATCAGTTATGGTATCGATACAAATGCGTATAATCATTCAAGCAGATTACAGTAATGAGATAATTGAACGCCTCTTTCGACCTTGAAATAACAGCCTCCAGTAGAATGCATATGTAGTTACGTCCTTGTTGAAAGGTTTGTCCCGTGACAAGTGTAAAATAAACAGATGCGCTGTTATATCATTGGACATCTTGCTTTATGGAGTCACGCTCCTCTCTGTGATGTTTATACATGCATGCACATCTGTAATCTTATGAACCTCGTTTGCATTCAGTAAAGATATAGGTACGCCCACCTTCATAAATATTGGGGTTGGGGTTGTCAACTGCAAGTTTCTACACTATAATAATTCAGTATAGTGTCACCTCCATTCTCTTCCCACAGAGGTTACTTGTCTTTTCTTCCTACGAACCTCTCTTTTAATACTGTCATATTTCCCGGTTCTCGTAAAATCCCCTAGCGGCAACGCGAATTATCTCCCTTCTTTCTGTCCAATCAGAACACGTGTTACATCAACTTGACTAATACAAGCAAATGTTGGGTCACAAATATCCCTCCTCTGCCAGGAACGTGTGTTGATGTGACACACAAGACATTTATTGGCTAGCTTGTCCGTTGTCAACGAGGGCGATGGAGACGCCATTGATCCGCCATTTACATGACTGAGTTTTGTCTATAAGAAACGTTTGCGCAACGCGCAGGGAAAGAGGTTCTAGTTTTCCCGAAGCATACGGAAATAACCAAGGTCTTGCGAATGATCACTTTTGAAACAACGTCGCTGATTGCACAACTAAATCTGATTGCAACCAATCACGAATCCTGAACACTCGCACCATGAAAGAGCCGTATTAGAACAGAGGTTCGTAGGAAGAAATGACAAGTAACCTCTGTGGGAAGAGAATGTGTCACCTCATGAATTCTGTAATGCGTGTACTGTAGTTTGGATAGTCATTCGTATCAAGGTGAAGATTATATTTACATGTACAGCAAACCATTATGTTTTATGTACTAGTTGTGTGCATAAAATGTATATGAAAATAAATACTACCTCTACTCAGTGGTTGGATTTCAATCGCTTTGTTTTACTTATCGAAAAACACTAAAATGAGGACAAATAAACCGCCAAAGTGACTATCTACTCCTATTTGTCTTATGTGTATATTTCATACATCGTTACCAGTGTGTATGTTTACAATACACTTTAACTGTTACATGATAGCTTGAGTTGATAAAGCCGAAACCCAGCATATCGACTGGTCAAGGATATAGCCAATAACCAATCTCTATCCAAGCTGCTGAGTGGCCAAACGTGCTCTTCAGAAATTTCTCACCACCCATCACCTGTCCTTTCCTCTGTGACAGGTATCTCATGATAATGATTGGTGGCAGATAACATATGACCAGCCACTACATTGAACAGTTGAGATACGAACGCTCTATTCGAAATTTGATGACGCCCTATCACGTGACTCTTTGTTTTATGTCTATGCAAGGAATATGTAGTATACATTTTGTATATGTATGTTTGTATGGTCAATGATGTTTTCTGCATTTAATCTGTATGAAATAAAGTGCAATGCTATGAATGTGCTTTGTGCTAGTCACAGACTAGCTGCTTATAGTACTTTCATTAAAATAATTCGTAAACACTAGAAATGTATTGGCAAAACCGCTATTTTAATTAGAAGATTATAAAGTATGAAAGTAAATTCTTCTTTACAGTATGTCATTGTCATAGATGTTTTGTAAATTTAAACCTCACAAATGATATAAGAGAGAGAATTTGTTAACGTTAATGTGTCTCATCTGTTACATACAAAGAATACATGTGTATGCATATTGTGATAAAATATAAATGTACAAGCCGACAAAAGGTCTACAAGAGAAACTTGCAATAAAATTACATAAAGCTTGCAATACACGACATGTATTCACACCTGATTGCTTTCAACATATATCTTTACGACACAATTAAACAATCAGGACTTGTTTGTACGACTAGACAGTTTCCTGTGATCCCCGAAACCTGCCAGGGAAATCAGGTGTGACAAGCACTAATTAGTTTCGGCACAGAGAGTGGGCAATCAGCGAGGGCTTCCAGGTGTTGAGTAGTGATGGGGCTCTCGGGCTTAATGAGTTAAATTTCAATTCATCATATATCAGCAGAATTAAAATTATAAACTATTTTTCGCAATGTTATTGAAAACAACGATTCTCGGACACATGCTTCGGCAGCAGGTCCACAATAACATTGTCAAAGAGCAAAGTAACGATGTTTCGAGGAATTCATTAAATAAATTGAATAAACTAATGAATAAAATCAACAACAACATTCATAAAAGTTGTCAAACGTACATATAAAATTATTATTTCCATCTTTTTGTGCGATCATGTAATGTAAGTCAAATCACTGACATGTGACATCTCGGCTCTCGCCGCCTCAATCTTCACGCTCGAACACGATGTTTAATGCGAATATATATACATGAAGCATTTTTGTCACAGGTCATAACCTAGCACGATACGTCCAATAAGTTCCATAATTTACGTATAGGTAGCGATTTCTTGCTTAATATGTTCAAAATAGCATTATTTTACCCAAAACTGTCGTCTAAATCTAAAAGTTTTCGTTTACGAGGACGGTATCCATTGCCGTAATATGATTGGCTGCCTTAGGTCACGTGTTTGATTTTGACCAATCACGACCCTTATTGCAGACTGAAACGAAAAAGCGTCATTAGAAACCAATTTTTATCCAATAAAATCGCTTCTTACAACTGTGAAAATACTCTCGGCAAGGGTTCAGTGATGTTGATGTTCAGAGCTTTCGAACGATACCCGACATCAAACAATTCGCCTCCCATGTTATTCATACGACGCCTCGAAAACGGAGGTATTTTCCGTTGTTATGTCATGTTACTGAGCGGAAAGCCACAGATATCGGGAAATAGGCGACCATACATATTATTTAAGAAATCTTTTAATAATAATTTTCTGATGACGTAAAAATGAAAATTTAAAAGAAAAAGGCACGGGCATGTTATGACATGTCACAAATGGAAAAAATCGCCATAGTTTTTGCTTCTTTCGTGGTTTATCTGGACGTTATAAATGTAAACTTGCATTTTCATTCAAAAATAATTTTATTTAAGTTGTAGTTGTAGTTGTATTATTTGAATAACATCATAAAAATATACTTCATATTTATCAACAGTAGGATCAGATCTTTTAAATGGTGTATGGGATGTAGTAGCAATAACGTTTTCCAAGCTTATAATTTCCTTCATAAACATAGGCTTCATCTATGACCTTAGAGTCTCTGGGAACTCGGTGTCATGGCAGTAAATGCCTCTGGTTGACTGGTGTTGAAAGAGTTAATTCAGAGTTCCAGATCATTACAGAATTTCATGCTTTAACAACATTCCCATTAAACATGACAAATGCTTTCAGATACATCATTGCAAAAACTACACAAACCATTTGTTAAATGTTACTGTGAATAACCAAACCTCAAAATATTGGTAGGTTGATGGTAAAAATGAGAAAGAAAATATAACATACCACTGGTTCTTTGACACCTTTTGTGATTGACTCAGGAGTTGCTCTTTGGCCAGTATCTTCAGGCTTTAAAGCTGTACTTCCATCCTCAACCTTTTTTCTCTTCGTATTGCTCCCAGACAAGTGCTCATCATGACTAAATTCAGACTGAGACTGATCCTTCCTTTTCCCTGTCTCATCGGACCTTGCAAGGCTTTTAGCTGTTTGTGTATTTTGATTTTCCTTATCAACTGAACCAGACTGTGACTCAAGATCTGGCCCTGTTGCTTCTGTACTGGTCTTGTCAGATACAGAGGTGACTGTTTCTGTTGTAGCAACTGTCTTACTCCCACCATCATCTGGTGTCGTAGTGTCCACATCTGCTGGTAAACACTTTCCTTCACCTGCCCCATTGCTATCATTTGTATCCTTCCTTTCCTTTCCATTTTTGTCACCCACCAAAGGTAAAGTACCACTCTTGGATGCATTTGGTTCATTCCCTTTCCCTCTCTCCTTCTTTGAAATAGGATTTTTTTCATCTTGTTTAGATCTAGTAAAAATGAAAACACACCCTGTTATTTAGGATCATGATTTTAAACTTCGTCAAATTTCAGCAAGTAAAGCAAGTAGAAACTGAAATTAGAATTACAAATGTGTTTTAACTATATGCAAAAGCAGTCCCATTCCAGAGACATCCACACCAAAATTCACCATGTGCATGCAATAATTTCAACCAAGGTCTTCAAAATCTATAAACTCTCCTGTCAGAAACTAACACAAGTGATTTCTTATTGACTATTACTATGTGGCTGAGGATTATTGGTAGTGACAGCACATGAATGATGCACTCCTAAAATATCAAGTTTTGGAAGTGGTCTCATTAAAATATGATCTCAATGTCGGCTGACACAAAACAAGGATCTGGGGACATCCCACAATGGATCACATCAGTACAATATTTCATCTGACCAATCAGAGCAATGCTTATCAGATCGTGAAAGTCAATTTGTGTTTTCTCATTATGGAACCACTGACTTGTTTGTGAGTCTGAATAACATTGTTTATCTTGACCTCATAGTGGGAAAATAAGAGATACCACCACAAGACACAGCACATGGTTTCATCAAATTCCAGTCCTAAAGTTTACTCAAGATATCTTGTGCACAAAGTTATTTATGCATAATTAAAAGTGAGTAACCTTTATCTTTTATCTATAATAGTTGCATGCAAGAACATTACTAGCAGAAAACTAAGATGGTGTAAAACACATAAAAATCTCCAAAGAATACTGACAACACTTTTCTAATTGTAAGTCATTTAAAGAACTTGACACAATATTGACATACCACAACTGGTTAGTTTCTTACCTCAGAGTCTATTATAACTGAAATTCTTCAAAGGCATTTAGAAGTTGGTGTTGTAATACAAGACAAATCTTATGGATAACAACTTCTTGATTTATTTTTCACGTTTCTGGGCTGGTTCTTGCCCCTCTTCAGGTGGATAAGGGTGATAGTGAACAGTACAGTGTGTGTGTGTGCGTCGTGCGTGCGTGCGTGCGTGCGTGCGTGTATTGATGTACAGGAAGCCAGATATGTAAATTAAGTATACACAAGTGCAAGGGAAAAAGGAGATATAATTAAGTATGTACAAACAATACAGTGAGAAAGAGAAGAATACAATAGGGTATGTTTTTACAATAAGGGCAAGGGTGTGTTTACATAGCAGAGTGGTTAAATCAGACCGGTCAGTCATTCTGTTGGTAACCCTGTCACACCTAATAACATTGCCATGCCTTATTCTGCCATGCCAATATATACAAATACTATCCCAAATACCATGTCTTCCCCTTATGTTGAACAACCACAATATGTGCCTCCTAGCGCCAAATATGACAGAGTTGTTAATCTCTTCATCTTATGGTGTCCCCAGAGCATCGTTGCCAACTTTCATCAACGGACGTGAGCGTGACTTTGCCCTATTGAAGATGGCTTTACAGCACCTAGTCAACATCCACCCTCATTTGGATGAAAGGTACAAATACCAGGTTTTGATGGGTCAATTAGGAGGAAAGGCTGAGAAATTAGCTGAACCTTACATGTATGAATCCAGCCCCTACACGATGGCTCTACAAGCTCTCCAGGAAAAGTATGGCCAACCCCGGGCAACTCATACAGAGTGAACTTGGTTCAATACTGGCCCTGTCGGCTGTTCGTCATAGTGACAGTGAAGGTTTTGATAACTTAGCATTAGCAGACCAGTCGCTTGTTGGAACGTTAAAATCACTTGAAGGTGTGTATGGACAAGAACTGAATTGCGGATCACATGTTGACAGGCTGCTAAGCAAACTAGCACCTAGTATGAGGGATGGATATATTGAACATTGTTTGAAACTCAGCATAAATGAATCCTACAACTTGATGAGTTTTAATGACTGGCTGCAAAAAAAGAGTCGAGCTAAACGAATAGCCAGTAATGCTGTCAGCTCTTACAAGACAAAACAAAGCCTTATCCTTCGAGGAGAGATCATGCCCCTACCATGGCATTCTTTGGGAAAACTAAATCTTTTCACTCGGAGCCCAAGAAACCCCAAAGGAAAGAGTCGTCTGAACCAGTTCAAAAAGGTTATTGTCCGAAGTGCGAGTCCTTTAATCATTTCCTTAGTTCTTGCCTTGAGATCAAGAAGATGAATCTTGATGAAATCTTGAAATGGTTGATTGGGAGATGCAGAAGGTGTGGCCACAGATAGAAGACTGTTATTTGAAGAAACAATGTCGTACATGCAATGATTTTCACCTTACTATTCTTCATGATGCCAACAGTCAAACAGAGCAGAAAGTTTTCTGTACGAAGGTAAACCAGCCTCCTGCTTACATTGATCAGCCCTCAAGGCCATACTTGACAATGCTGAAGATTGTAGAGGTTCACTTCATGGACCAAATGACGTTTGTTTAGATGCTCATGCCATTCTGGATGATGGGTCTCAAAGGACTATGCTTATGGCTCCAGTTGTGAGGCAATTAGGACTTGATGCAAGAAGGGATAAAATCTTGCTGACCACAATCAGACGAGAACCATTAACATCTGATGGTTTATCTGTTGACCTTGAAATCTCTCCAAGGAGTAATCAACGTTTGCGATTCTCTGTCAAGGGAGCCTTTGCCTCTGACAAAGTTGCCCTTTCGGAATATACCTACCCTACTGAGAGTCTTCAGGACAGATGGCCCCAATCTTTGCGAACATCCATTGCCAGTCATCAACAAAGTGAAGCCTGTGATCTTGATAGGCTCAGACTGTACTGAGCTGATAGTGCCCGATCAGCTAATCATGTGTGGACCACCAGCAACACCAGTAGCAGTTCATACCAAACTTGGATGGTCTCTACAAGGTCCAGCACACTCAGTCTGCCAGATGGATCAACATAACTTCTTTATTGCACAATAACCCAGTTTCAGTGACTTCCACCAGGATGTTGAGAAACTATGGAAAATGGATGTCCTGCCTTACAGTACTAAGGACTTCACCAGATCGAAACATGATGAACAAGCTATACAAACCCTTGACACTGAAACTGAGATGATCAATGTGAATGGAGTAATCAGGTATGCCACACCCTTGCTTTGAGTGAAAGAAGGTACACAATTTCATGCAACTGCCGAGTCAATGATGCCAAAGCTGAGAAGGACTGAGAAACATTTGAGAAATCAGCCTGATTTAGCAGAAGTGCACAACCGACTTATCCACAACTTAGTTGATGCAGGATCTGTGAAAGTGATTTCTAATGATGAAGCAGAAGGTAGTAAAGAGTCCTGGTACATCCCACACCATCTCGTACATCACAACGATAAACACAGACTTGTGTTTCATTGCTTGTACGAGGCTAATGGACAGAATCTGAACAAGAAGCTCCTGCCATATGAAAGGTATGTTCCACCAAGTGAGACTGCTGGACAAGGACAAGCCTCTCCTGAGGTTCATATGGCATGATCTAGAAGGTGACAGAGACCCCGGATGTATATCAGTGGGAAGTCCTAACTTTCGGAACAACATGTAGCCCTTGTTGTGCTACTTTCGCAGGAAACATGCGACTGATCACAGAAATGGAAATGAAAAAGTCTACCAATCTGTCGCAAATGCCTATTATGTTGGGTGTGCCTACCATAGCTGAAGCTAAAGACCTTGTCCACCGAATGAGTACCTTGCTTGATGAAGGAGGATTCCATCTCAGACAATGGGCAAGTAATATGTCCCATGTGGTATCACGAGTGCTTCCTGAAGACAGGTCCTTGGATTGTGAATTGTGGTTGACCCTTGATGATTGTCAGCCCTGTGAGGGTGCCCTTGGTCTGAGATGGCATTGTGAATCCGATGAACTGAGCTTCAAGTACAAGGAGATACCATATGACTGCTTGAGCATGAGGGTCATCTACCGCATCATGGCCAGTCAATACGACCCCCTTGGGTACATCGCACCATACACTGCACGAGCAAAGTGTATTGTTCAGGATCTTTGGAACAAGAAAAGGGGACTGGAATGCACCACTAGAATCAGGAGCCCTACGTGATCTGTGGGCAGTCTGGGAAAGTGAACTGTAGGACATAGTGCACATCAGGTTACCCAGATGTTACACACCATTGCACATTGACCCAAGAACTGCATCCAGAGAACTCCATGTATTCTGTGATGCTTCTGAGAGATTGTATGGTTCAGTTGCCTACTTGAGAACAGATACTGAAGATGGAGAGATATTCGTGAGTTTCGTTCAATCCCGCTCCAGAGTGGCGCCAAAAACGTCAGTCAATTCCTAGACTTGAATTATGTGCTGCTTTGAAAGCAATTATCCTTCCAATAGCCAACGTGATTCTGTGGAGGGACTCCACAACAGTGTTGACTTGGCTGAAGTCCGAGTCGTGTCGATACGAAGTGTTGTCGGTACTAGGATATCAGAGATTCAGACCCTGACTAACGTGACACAGCGGCGCTATGTGGACACTCAGGACAATCCAACAGATGACGTCACACGAGGGAAAACACTCTCAGAACTCAGCAAGGACTCACGTTGGAAACTAGGTCCACCCTTCCTGTCATTGCCACGCCATTACCAAGAAAGTTCTGAGGTAATTGATGACACAGTGGAACTGAAGTCGACATTCTGTACTCCTGCTGTGGTATGAGATCTGAAAACAGTAGATCCAGCTGAATGTACCAGCTGGGATGAACTTGTGACGAAAACCATGGAGGGTTTAGATGGGGCGGCCGAACCTGCTGAACAGCGAAAAGCCGCAGAACTGCAATTACTGCGAGATGTACAATTGCAATGTTTCCTTGATGATCTTGCAGTGCCTGAGAATGGTGACAGATTACCTTCAAAGAGTCGACTAATGCAGCTCGACCATGTGTTCAAAAAGCAATTACTGAGGAACTTCCAGATTACACCAAACACCTTATTGTGCTTGACCCTAAACATCCGACAACCCGTCTACTCATCAGCAACTATGACACTGACTTGTTACACTGTGGAGCGGAGTGTGTGTTTGCCGAGATTCAGCGAAGTTATTGGATTTTACGCAGATGAGAAGCTGTTCGTTCCCACAAGAGAAAGTGTGTAGTCTGTCAGAAATGGCGAGCAAATCCACAAGTTCCCAAAATGGCAGATTTGCCAGCAGCACGCTGGAGACTCTTCAAACTGCCATTTCATTCCTCAGGAACTGATTGCTTTGGACCGATGCACGTGACAGTTGGATGACGTTCGGAGAAAAGATGGGGTATCATATTCAAATGCATGACAACCCGATCAGTTCATATCAACCTGCTTGACAAAATGGACACTGATGCCTACCTGATGGCACTACGACGTTTCATAGCACGTTGAGGGAAGCCATTTGAGATTTGGTCAGACAATGGAACCAATTTCAAAGGAGGAGTCAGGGAACTCAATGAAGCATGGGCAGTAATGGTGCCATCATTGACAACACAACTTGCTAAACAGAAGATTCGCTTCCACTTTAACCCTACAAGTGCCCCACACTTTGGAGGTGTATGGGAGAGAGAAATTAAATCTGTAAATTATGGGCTTAGAGTTGCCCTCGGAGATCAAAGTGTCACAGAACCAGTACTCCAGACTGTCTCGGCCGAAGTAGAAGGAATCCTAAACTCAAAGCCTTTGGGTTATGTGTTATCGGATGTAAGTGACACTGACCCAGTGACTCCAAACATACCTCTGAACGGTCGCAGAGACAGTTCTATGCCACAGATTGTGTATCCAGAAGAAGATATACTTTGTCGCCGCAGATGGCTGCACAGTCAAGTTCTTGCTGATCACTTTTGGAAACATTTCATTCGTGACTACTTACCTAAGCTACAGCTGAGGCAGAAATGGCAGAACAATCGTAAGGATCATAAGGACATTGAGTGTGGAGATGTTGTGATGGTCTTAGACCCACAGAGTGTTTAGGGATTCAGGACAGGTTGGTAGGGTATATGAGACTTTCCCCAGGGTTGACGGTAGGATTCGATCAGCTGCTGTTCAGGTTAATGGTCTGCGGATCCTGAGACCTGTATGTCGACTTATCCTACTACCTGAGTGCCCTGAGGATTAACAGATCATGGACATGTCCTGTGCTGATGATAGAGACATTAATCGTTTAGTTGATAATTATTTTCAAATTTGTGTCAAATTTGGGGGAGGCTGTCAAGAAGCATCCCTATGCCCGGATTTGATAACCACTTGACTAAGAAGTGCCCTGATAGATTTTTCAGAAGGGTCGACAAGTTTCTCCAATATAGCTGCTTCCACAGTCACAACTAGTTTTGTAGACACATCCTCTGGGATTGGGTTTTCCCTGATTGCTGCTACCTCTTCCATTCGCTCTAAGGATGGTTTTCAAGGTTTTGTCGGAATAAAATGTCACATCAACACTGGCAGTTTTTCTAAGAAGTCAGCTGATGTGATGGCTAATCTGGCCTTGGAAAGGAATATTGATTCGGATGGGAGCTGGTTCGGATTTTGGTTAACTGTGATTTTGTGGCTGGACGGTGGTTCACTATCATCATTATCCACCTGAAGAAGGGGCAAGAACTTAATGAAGCGTTGTAGGGCCACGGTGAAATTTTTTTTAGCCTCATTATCTCCTACGTAGGATATAGTATCTCCCATGTAGGACTTAGTATCTTCTACATAGGAGATACTATTTACTATAATGTAAATACTTTCTAACCATTACCAGCCTCTAAGTAGAAATAAAATGTAATAGAAGAAATTATTATCAAGTCCGCATGTGGTTGCTTGACTAAATAGTTACGTGTGACCCATCCACATAACTGCAGGATTCTTATCAATTCCCCTTTCACCTCATGGAACATTAGTTGTGTACATACACATATATTAATACATATTTATCATCTCCTGCGTAGGAGATATTAAGGAGATAGTATGAGATGCTATGTCCTACGTAGGACTTAATAACTCCTACGTAGGAGATATTATGCCCTATGTAGAGAGATTTTAAGTCCTACCCTGGAGATAGTGAGACCAAACAATTTTTTCACCGTAGCCCTACTACGCTTACGTAAGAACTAGCCTAGAAACGTTGTGAAAAATTATAAATCAAGAAGTTGTTATCTATAAGATTTGTCTTGTATTACTGTTACAACTGATTGGGAATATTCCTTGTATTTTTTTAAACGTAACCTGAAATGTGTTGAACTTGAAGCTTTCTCCAAAATTTGACTCCAAGTGACCTTTACCTTCCATAGAGGTCACTCTAGAGTTTAGTCACTCAAAACCCCACCCTTGCATTCATTTATACTGAGTTTCATTTTACTTCAAATGTAGTTTATCAAATTATTTCGTACACAAATGATCAGATCCCTTGTTCATAACAAGTGACCTTAACAATCATGTCCTAAAAGGTATATCAGAAGTATGATATTTGTTTTTCTTTTTGTTTAGGGCTCACTCAGCAATATTCCAGCATTATGGCGACGGTCTGTCAATAATTGCGACTGGACCAGAAAATCCAGTGATCAACGTCATGAACCTCGATCTATGCATTTTGGGATACGGTGACACAGCATTTGGGAGAAGTCACAAACGACACAAAAAATGACCAACAAATTTGACTTCTCAAAATAAGAAAGACAGAGGAGAGAAGATGTTTACAGAATAATTCACGACAGACAAATACATCATGTTCTGTGAAAGAAAGGCAAAATACATCAAGTCAACTTAGTTTTTAACGTTAATTACATTGATGGTGAAGCATCGTCCAATGGTTGGTCACGATCATCACTTTTCCCTCCCTTTTTCTTTGATGATGAAGTCTTTCCATCCTTTTCTGAAGGTCTGAAAAAAAATAATTTACCTATTAACTCAAAGCAGAACTTACTCAACGGAAATTTTGTATGTTGCTTGCATGTAAAGACACTGTCATAAGGTTCTGGAGCTCACCTGAATCTTGATATGTTGGCAATATAAAAAAATCATAGCCACAAAGCAGATAAAATGCAACTCACATTAGTAATTAAATTAAAAAATATACACTCTCAGAGCTGAAAGTAATATTATTGGGGCCTGTGTTTTATGAAGAGCAACATGCATTGTACACATTTTCAAAGAAATCTCTTTGTTTGATGAATCAAATACTTGACATGCTTGGTCCCACCAAAAATGACACCCTAGTTTCAACAATATTCCAGCTAAATGGTGCCGGTCTGTACGTAATCCAAGTCTGGACCAGACAATCCAGTGATCAACAGCATGAGTATTGATCCCACTAAAAATTAGGTCAAAATACAAGATCGCTTGACTTTCAGTCAACAGGCCGATATGTCAATATTCCTGTAGATAAAAGGGTGAGCACTGTGTGTAATGAAGGCTACATCGAAGATGAATTGTGTTCACTATAAAACACTGCGTGAGAAGTACCTACTAAATGTATATCATACTCTACGTGTGATAAATATAACATGCTTTTGGCATCAACGAATGTTAAAAAGGGGACTGATCCAGAGCAATTAATGTTTCTCACCAACAGTCTAATTATGAAACCAAGCTGCAAGCTGGTTGGTACCTGCTCCCTTGACCGTGTCGGACACGAGGACTAGGCTACTGTCCATCTTGGCAATATTTCTTCAACTTAAACATTGGGACATTGGGAAGGGTGGATGCCCATCAGATGTCGTTATTTGAAAATATCCCCGGTAGTTCTTGTCTGATTGTAATAAAGTATAGCAGCAGTGAAGGCTTTTCGGGATTTTCTAATGCCTGGATGGTAAAGTGACTAATCCAATTTAATCTTATTTCTGTGTTTTTTTACCACGATATTTAATCATGTCATGTAAAAATATGATGTCTATTACATATGATTTTAAAAACACACACATTTGATTTATTTAAACAATCCCACTTTGACATTGCTAGAAAATCTGAAAATTTACTGAGCTAAATAGGCATATACAATTTTTCAATTGTACACATCAAATGCTTATATGCATTTCTTGTGCCACAATGAAGATCTGTTCGTATCCTCCAAACAGTGTTGGCCCATAAGTTTTTTAAGGCAATTAAAATTGCATACAATACATAGATTACTACACCCTTTGTTGTAACCTGGGTTTGGTGGTATAAACCTATACATGTTTTTGTCATCAATCACTTGACGGTCAGTTAATAAATTTATAACAGGTTTAATTAGTGGTAATACCACTCATATTACCCGCCAAAGGTTCCCGTTTGGTAATTCTCGTGTCTGGAGTAAATACTTAACATTTTGAATTAAGGTCTGATGTGACAAATGTATTACATGTTATCTAATATGAGTGAGACCATGGTCCAGGGGTATAATACTCGTGTCTCTGAACGACGCTGCACATACAACAGTCAACTAGGGCCAACTATGAATGTTCTTTATTATGGATGGTGATGACTCAGTGGGGGACAGGTACACACACTGTCACATTTAACAACAATAACAATACAGTTTGGCCAACCATAGCAACATTACATGAATATTACAAGCACTACATCAATGCACAGTATGTGACTGTACCAAACACATGTGCCAACTATGACTTTACATATTATAATGGAAAAACTGTCATGGCCGACGCCAACAAGCACATGGCCATTGTTAAGTTTATAAATTGACCAGATATATAAATGTTAATTTAAATTAAAGTATGTTCTAGTTGATAGTTAATAGTTGATAATTGTAATAAATGTTTAACATGTTTAATAAATTTAGTAAACCTATGCCTAACTTATCTCCAATGAAACTGTGAAAGGTTGACTCACCTGCATATGGAAGGAGAATGTCTCTCAGTGGGGGACAGGTACACACACTGAGGAACAATCTACAGGTGAGCAACAAGAAAACTATGGCAAACCAATAGGGCCAATCACAGCCAAGAAGAGAATTGTTTGGCATAAGAAACCAATCAGTGGCAGGTAAGTGGCAATAAGGTGAGTCTACTTATAGAAAAGAAGAATTGAAGTGAATTGGGATGATTCCCAATTCAGAAAAAGAAGAGGGTGAAAATTGAAAGAACCGAGGAACCAAGATGGTGAGATATTATGCCCTATGTAGGAGATTTTAAGTCCTACCCTGGAGATAGTGAGACCAAACAATTTTTTCACCGTAGCCCTACTACGCTTCCGTAAGAACTAGCCTAGAAACGTTGTGAAAAATTATAAATCAAGAAGTTGTTATCTATAAGATTTGTCTTGTATTACTGTTACAACTGATTGGGAATATTCCTTGTATTTTTTTAAACGTAACCTGAAATGTGTTGAACTTGAAGCTTTCTCCAAAATTTGACTCCAAGTGACCTTTACCTTCCATAGAGGTCACTCTAGAGTTGAGTCACTCAAAACCCCACCCTTGCATTCATTTATACTGAGTTTCATTTTACTTCAAATGTAGTTTATCAAATTATTTCGTACACAAATGATCAGATCCCTTGTTCATAACAAGTGACCTTAACAATCATGTCCTAAAAGGTACTGTAAACGTACTTATTTTCGCGTGTCGCAATTTTCGCGGAATCGACAGTTTAGACTACATCGCGCGGTCAATTATTCGCGCAATCAGTAATTGCCGGAACTGCCAGCTGTCTCTTTGGCCGCCACTAATAGCAGTGAAAACAAACAAAGTGGCTTAACCTGTCAGGTGGCGTGTATTGCATACTCACAGGAAATCCCTATCTGTGCGATATACTAGTACACAGTAATCCGTTTACTCACGGAAGAGATGAAAAACACATCAGTCTTATGTTCCGAATTCTGACGATCTGACGAATTAACTTCTACTGTATATGCAGCTCTGTGATTTCAAACAAGCCGGGTTGTTGTGAATGAGATGATTGAGTGTTAAGTGACTAATCGCTTCATGATGTACTGGTAAATAAAATCTTAATGAATAAATAAAATACTGCTGTATTATTTCTTTCCGAAGTCGCTTCATGGTAATCTGTTTTGTATCAAACCATCTGTCATGTGACCAATTTCCATGGCGGCCACAACACACATTGCTGTTTTCGCTAATTCAGGCGATGGATTTGACTCATTATTTAATTATGTTTTTGGAAATTCATTACAGCGACAGTTAAGTATGATTCTTTATGCTACTATCAGTCGTCATTTTAAGATTCCCGTAGATTTCTGTCTTCAAACTTGATGTGTAATGGTAACAACTCCGGGGCGACCGTGGTTAGACTGAATGAATGACAGGTTTATTCGTGGTGTATAAATTTTCGCTCTAAAATGTTTTGCGCAAAAAGCCCGAAAATAAAACCTGCGCGAAATATAATACGTTTACAGTATATCAGAAGTATGATATTTGTTTTTCTTTTTGTTTAGGGCTCACTCAGCAATATTCCAGCATTATGGCGACGGTCTGTCAATAATTGCAACTGGACCAGAAAATCCAGTGATCAACGTCATGAACCTCGATCTATGCATTTTGGGATACGGTGACACAGCATTTGGGAGAAGTCACAAACGACACAAAAAATGACCAACAAATTTGACTTCTCAAAATAAGAAAGACAGAGGAGAGAAGATGTTTACAGAATAATTCACGACAGACAAATACATCATGTTCTGTGAAAGAAAGGCAAAATACATCAAGTCAACTGAGTTTTTAACGTTAATTACATTGATGGTGAGGCATCGTCCAATGGTTGGTCACGATCATCACTTTTCCCTCCCTTTTTCTTTGATGATGAAGTCTTTCCATCCTTTTTTGAAGGTCTGAAAATAAATAAATTTACCTATTAACTCAAAGCAGAACTTACTCAACGGAAATTTTGTATGTTGCTTGCATGTAAAGACACTGTCATAAGGTTCTGGAGCTCACCTGAATCTTGATATGTTGGCAATATAAAAAATCATAGCCACAAAGCAGATAAAATGCAACTCACATTAGTAATTAAATTAAAAAATATACACTCTCAGAGCTGAAAGTAATATTATTGGGGCCTGTGTTTTATGAAGAGCAACATGCATTGTACACATTTTCAAAGAAATCTCTTTGTTTGATGAATCAAATACTTGACATGCTTGGTCCCACCAAAAATGACACCCTAGTTTCAACAATATTCCAGCTAAATGGTGCCGGTCTGTACGTAAACCAAGTCTGGACCAGACAATCCAGTGATCAACAGCATGAGTATTGATCCCACTAAAAATTAGGTCAAAATACAAGATCACTTGACTTTCAGTCAACAGGCCGATATGTCAATATTCCTGTAGATAAAAGGTGAGCACTGTGTGTAATGAAGGCTACATCGAAGATGAATTGTGTTCACTATAAAACACTGCGTGAGAAGTACCTACTAAATGTATATCATACTCTACGTGTGATAAATATAACATGCTTTTGGCATCAACGAATGTTAAAAAGGGGACTGATCCAGAGCAATTAATGTTTCTCACCAACAGTCTAATTATGAAACCAAGCTGCAAGCTGGTTGGTACCTGCTCCCTTGACCGTGTCGGACACGAGGACTGGGCTACTGTCCATCTTGGCAATATTTCTTCAACCTAAACATTGGGACATTGGGAAGGGTGGATGCCCATCAGATGTCGTTATTTGAAAATATCCCCGGTAGTTCTTGTCTGATTGTAATAAAGTATAGCAGCAGTGAAGGCTTTTCGGATTTTCTAATGCCTGGATGGTAAAGTGACTGATCCAATTTAATCTTATTTCTGTGTTTTTTTACCACGATATTTAATTATGTCATGTAAAAATATGATGTCTATTACATATGATTTAAAAAAAACACACATTTGATTTATTTAAACAATCCCACTTTACCATTGCTAGAAAAATCTGAAAATTTACTTAGCTAAATAGGCATATACAATTTTTCAATTGTACACATCAAATGCTTATATGCATTTCTTGTGCCACAATGAAGATCCGTTCGTATCCTCCAAACAGTGTTGGCCCATAAGTTTTTTAAGGCAATTAAAATTGCATACAATACATAGATTACCAAGATGGTGACCAGTGTTAGTAAACAATCAAGACCAGACAATGACATGACATGACATGACTGCTATTACAGCACCCACATGGCACTTCAGGTAATTTTAATATTTTATAAAAAAAAGTAGTTTGTTTTTGGTATGTTTTATTTTATGTTTTTTTGTTTTTTTTAATAAAATAAAATATGAACTGACATATGCCCAAACTATGTACAAAATATCACACTTTCAGTTTTAGTAGAATGAAATATCACCCGGCTACATGAGCATGGAAGTGCAGCAAGACGAATTATCAGCTGAGTTACAAAAACAAACATTGATCAAAGGATTAACTGATAACATGCTCATTGATTAATTACTTCACAGTGGATTTGTCAAAAGGTAGTGTTTATGTATGCAGATTTACTAATCTATACCAAATACACCCTGACGTAAAGTACCTGTGTAAAAACAATGTCCTTCCTTCGAAGGATTAACCGCCAATACGTTGACTGATTGCTCATTATTGGCTAGCTAAATTACTTTTATTAAAGAGCGGGCATCATGCAGTTAGTTGCCAGGTGTGCTACCTTGGATGACCAATGGGACTATACACCAATGTGAAAAACCTGAAACAATGTATCACTTTTCGCATATTAGGCTGTTAAAAGACACATGGCATGGAACAGGATTCTTTGTCAGCTGCAGATGAATGGCATATCATTCCTTTATGTGGATATTGATGGATACATTCCTCAAACAAGGTAATAGCCTTACATTGTTGCTATAACTTTAGTCTGTTTTAATTTTAATATTTGCACTTTGTTTTCATTCATTTGTGGTAGCATTCAACAGAAACATTTTTTTCGCTGTTGAGTGTAATGAGACAGACAACATACACTAGGTTGGACTTACAGCATGTGTGAAATATGATTCACGTTGACAATCTATAAAATGTCTAGATATTACAGTCATGTTATAAAATCACTATATATATTAGTATAAGCAGATCGTATGCTTTTTATTAAAGAACAAATAAACTTTGGTTTTTTTTACTCTTTTAACTATTACATATGAAAGATATGTGGTCAGTCTTATGGAACACCAAATTCATTCTTTAAAACTTGTGGTTAAAAACTTTAAAAGTTGCCAAAAGTCGCTTCACTCTTGTCCGCCAACGAAACCACAGACAGGTTACGTAACTCTGTTGCCGGAGCACTGCAGTGACGTCATATGAGGAAGGATTTTCAGTTAGTTGTATAGAAAGTGTGTTGCAAGCTCGTCATTTTGATGATTTCTCGACATCAACGAAGACATGCCAAATCGCTGCGTTGTCGCCAATTGCTCCTAGAGGTCGGGCTGATGGTGTTGCCATGCACAGATTTCCACAGGACCCCGCAGTTTGTGCAAAATGGGTTATGTTTGTGAGTGCGGCTTGAAGCCGTTGTGGAAGCCTGAAACGATATCTTACTTGTGTTCAGATCGCTTCACGGAAGTTAAAGAATCAAAACTACTCACTAGTCGTAGTAAAATATGTATATGATTGATGACCATAAAGATTTTCCATGACACAACTTGTAACATAACGATTTCTGCCTCAGAAGCGAGGTTGTGGTCGAAGTAACAATAATACTGTAAGTACATGTAGTATTATATTGACACTCACCTCGCTTCCACGAGAGAAATTGTTATGTTATACGCTATGTCATGCAAAATCCTATTGGCCATCAATCAAATACATATTTTACTACCAGTAGAAAGTAGTTTTGATTTTGTAACTCGGTGAAAACAAACCTAAATAGCATTTAAACTCAGACTGGCGGATGTTCGTGATAGGGCGCAGCCATTTTTGAAAATCGTGAAGTCACGGGCTAAAGTCTGTTAGAATTAATGAGATTATGGTTTGTTTTCATCAAGTTAGAAAATCAAAACTACTTTCTACTTGTAGAATCATAATCAAAAGCATTTTGCATGACACAACTTATAACATAACGATTTCTTCCATGGAAGCGAGGTGGGGGGGTCGAAGTGACAATACTGTGCGACAAATTTCTTGCTGCATTCACATGGTTAACGTGCACTCACCAGTATGTAGATACTAGTCAATGTACGTCTTTATATTTGGTCTTATAATCCTAATTAGTTTATTATCATACTTGTATGCATTCTGAAACTAAATAAATAGCAGACGATCTGCTGATACTTATAGTGCATTTATAACAGGACTGTAATATCTAGACATTTATTTTATAGTTTGCCAATGTGAATCATAATTCGCACACATGCCCTAGTGTATGTCTCATTACACTTCACGGCAAAACCAATGATTCTGTTGAATGCTACGACAAATGAATAAAAACAAAATGCAAATATTAAAATTAAAACAGACTAAATTTATAGGAACAATGTCAGGCTATTACCTTGTTCGAGGAATGTATCCATCAATATCCACAAAAACAAGTGATATGCCATTCATCTGCAGCTGTTCCAAGTAATGTGTCTTTTAACAGTCTCGTATACGAAAAAGTGATATATATCGTTTCAGGTATGTCACATTGGTGTATAGTCTCATTGGTCACCCAAGATAGCACACCTGGCAACTGATTGCATAATGTCCGCCATTCTTTAAAAGCGGTAATTTAGTTAGCCAATAATGAGCAATCAATCACTGTATTGGCGGTTAATCCTTTGAAGGAAGGACGCTTGTTTTACGCGAGACACAGACACCTACAGAGTGTATTCAGTATAGATTAGTAAATCTTTATACATAAACACTACCTTTGACAAATCCGCTGTGTAAGATAAAAGTAATTAATCAGCGTGTTATCGGTTAATCCTTTGATCGATGTTTAAAATGTTGAATATTTACTCCAGACACAAGAAATGCCAAATGGGAACCTTTGTCGGGTAATCTAAGTGGTGTTACCACTAATTATGCCTGTTATAAATTCATTAACTGACCATCAAGTGAATGATGACAAATAACATGTGTAGGTTTATACAACCTAACACGGGTTACAACGAGGGAGTATTAATTGCTGTATTGCATGCAATTTTAATTGCATGTGCAAACTTATGGGCCGACACTGTTTTGAGAATACAAACAGAACTTCATTGTTGCATAAGAAATACATATAAGCATTTGCTCTGTGCTAAAACTGTATGTACCTATTTACCTAAGTAAAATTTCAGATTCTTCTAGCAGTGGCAAAATAGGGTTGTTTAGTTTACCAATTCAAATAAATCAAATGCCAAGTTTTAATATCATACGTTATAGACGTCATATTTTTACATGACATGATTAAATATCGAGGTAAAAAAACACAGAAATGAGATCAATTTGGATCAGTCATTATACAAATAAGGCCTAACGACACCAAGCGATTTTGACAGAGTCATCTATGAAAACAAGTTGTAACTCGGAAACTAGGCAAAGCAGGAGACAAAATTATATGACAGTAGATTGTGAGAACATATAGCTTTCATTTTTCCACTGTGGCCCTACTACGCTTCCGTAAGGACTAGCCTAGAAACGTTGTGAAAAATTATAAATCAAGAAGCTGTTATCCCTAAGATTTGTCTTGTATTACTGTTATAACTGATTGGGAATATTCCTTGTATTTTTTTAAACGTAACCTGAAATGTGTTGAACTTGAAGCTTTCTCCAAAATTTGACTCCAAGTGACCTTTACCTTCCATAGAGGTCACTCAAAACCCCACCCTTGCATTCATTTATACTGAGTTTCATTTGACTTCAAATGTAGTTTATCAAATTATTTCGT